TATCTGAAAGAGTGGATGTTTTAGTAACAAAATTTGAAAACAGGTTTGAGGAAATTGAAAGTAAAAAAATGCTTTTCCAATTTGTCATAAATCTTTTTATTTATGATTTAAATTCATTGAATCATATCATATCTCATGATAAAATAGACTCTGCAGAATTGGAACTATTGGAACTAAAAAATGACATAAATTTGTGTGATTTTGAAAAAGTGCAACCAAACATTATAGATATGTGGAAACAGATATCTTTACAGCCAGGTTATAAAGTTATATCTAATATTGCTCTGCCAGTTCTATCAATGTTTAGCTCTACATACCGATGTGAAACAGTGTTTTCAGATTCATACAATTCATACAAAAACAAATCCAGAAACAGACTTACTGATATAAATTTAATTCACTGCTTAAGGGCAGCAACAACAAAATATACACCACATTATGGTAATATGTTGTCTGACATTCAAAGCCAAGGATCACATTAATTTAATTTTACTTCCTATTTAGGTTTCATAGAAATTTAAAAATTTTTTCACTCTAATATGTTGTTTTCCATTTATTCAAAAATAAAAATTCATTCATGTATGTATAATATAAGGATAAATATTGTATATATATATATATATATGTGTGTGTGTGTGTGTGAGTGTGTGTGTGTGTGTGATTAGATGGCCCTTCATATATTTTTATTATGTACAAATGGCCCTCTGAAAAAAAAGGTTTAGCATCAATGCTTTAAGTAAAGCTTTTAACTCTGCTGCTCGTCTAGTTGCTCGTGCCCCTTTCTTTTCTCATATATCTCCATATCTTGTTCTCTTGCACTGGCTACCTATAAAATATAGAATAATTTTTAAAATTTGCACGTTCATGTATAAGTCTTAATCTAAATTATTTCCTTAGTATTTATCAGATATATTAATTGAACCTAAACGCCCCGGTTTACGATCGTCTTCTTCTTAACTCGTGTTAAACACTCTTTTGCCTAATCTGCTTTTGCTTTTTCTGGTCCTTTTCTCTGGAACTCTCTACCTACTTCTCTGACTACTTCTCCATCACTTGCGAAGTTCAGAGCGGATCTCAAGACCCATCTGATTTCAAAATTCATTGAGGAGTGCTGTTGAACATCGCGGAAATAGCGCTTTATAAGCTAATTGATTGATTGATTGATTGAAGAATCTGATGTGTGTGATGGGTCTTCAGAACATTTAGATTAAGGTCATCTAATCTAATGGTCCGAAGATCCTTACCAATACTTTTGGTCCCTTAAATCTTCATTTGAATAACCATTTAATGGAGAGGTCTTACAGTACAAAATTTTTGGGTCTAATTATCTCAGATAATTTATCTTGGGCTGAACATATTAATACTATTTCTTCTAAATTAAGCAAAATTTTAGGTCTTCTTTATAAAATAAGATACAAACTTAATAAAACTACTTTAATATTGTTGTACAATGCATTTGTTTTTCCTCATCTATCATATTGTAATCTTATCTGGGGCAATAGCCCTGCTGTTCATGTCTCAAAACTATATAGAATTCAAAAAAAATTTATAAAACTATTATTATATTTAAAAATTACCACTCATGTTGATGAATATTTTTCTTCTTTAGGTCTTCTTACAATATACAAATTACATATTTTTATTGTTGCCTTTTTCATGTTCAAATTTGTCAATAATCTGCTACCATCTAATTTCTCAAATATTTTTTCACTCAAACCTTCACATATTTTTAAATCTACTCGTCACTTCATTCCATATATAATACCATTCAGTAGACTAAAAATTTTAAATGATAGCATATTTATTCTTGCACCCAAAATTTGGTTTACAATTTTGCCTCTATCTGTTACAATTATTTCAAAACCTCGTCTTTTTAAACAACATTGTTAAACTTATTTATTGTCTGATAAACGGCGATTTTTGCAACTATAGTTGTTTTAACCTTATCTAAATCTTATTTGAATAATTTTTGTATATGAGTAATATCAATGATCTGAATAAAACTGTTTTTGTATGTATGTATGTATGTATGTATGTATGTATGTATGTATGAATGTATGGATGTATGTATGTATGTATGTGCGTATGTAGGTATGTATATATGTATGTACTCTTACTTTTGAACTATATTTGGTTTCATATCATTTAATTTATTGAAATGCTATAGAATCCTAAATTCAAAACTTTAATTTTATGTACTCATTTTGAACTATATCTCTGTTTCATAAGATTAATAGAATAGAATCTGCAGTTCAATAACTTTTGATTTATTTCGATCTATTTTAATCCTTGATTTTTGTCGAACTATTTTAATTTTTGATTTTTGTTGATCAATGTTGATTTTATTTGGATAGGGTGACTTTCTTACAAGCATTTGGTTGCTTTTTTAGTTTACCCCTCTTTTGAGAAAATAAACGAATTGAAATTGAAATAATGTTTTAAATAAAATGAGAAGTTGTTAAGTTTTATGTTTTATATTAAAACATTATGATTTATGATATACATTTATTTTCTTTGGACCAAATGTTCTTTGCTTTGTATGTAACTTCTCTTTTCCCTTTTCTGTTGTTCCGGTTGATAATGAACAAGTCAAGAACGTTGCTTAGTTTATTTCTCTTCTTTTAATGTCTTTCAATACTAATATCAATTAATTAAACGATCTACGTGTCAAGAAATTCAAGTTATTGGAGATTTAAATTCATCTACAAAACTGAGATCATGCGATGTTTCCATCCACATATACTGTGTTTTGTCAACGTTTAGTTTCAACTTGTTTGATAGCATCCAATTTTCCACTGCGTTTACTGCGTCGGACACCTTATCGCTCACCCGACACCATGACTCGGGCCAACCAGATCCGTACAATTGGATATCATCAGCATAAAGGTGACAATGAAGACCTAAAACCTCCACGACGCTGATGACATCTCCAGTGTACATAATGTACAATAGAGGGCCAAGCACTAAACGGTAAAACGGGAGATAGGTACTCCTATGGTATCGTTCATGTTTACAAACAATGATAATGTACTTTTAAAATAAATTGACTCCGCCCATTTTGAATTATCTAGCGCTTTATCAAATTATCAAATTTATATCAAATTGAAAATAATTTAATACAAGTTAATTCTTAGTTAAGTAATTTAATACAAGTTAATTTTTAGGTAAGTTAGATCATTACTTGTCAAATATCAATGGCTTATGGAGTGGTTAACAGGGTTAGGGTTAGGGCCTCCATTTTTAACAAAATTTTCAATCATT